TATGCCCGAAGACAAATAGGAACCAGTTACTTTATTAGCCAGATAGCTAAAGATTACCTGGACACATTGAGCAAGATGAGATCTACCATCTTTGCTACCAGTGGCGTTCCAGTTAGCCAGACAAGTGGAAGCAGTAGTACAAGCAGCAGTAGTTCTAATCCTCAGATAGATTCCCAGAATCCGCTCCAAATGTGCAGACATTCCTTTTTGTCCTAGAAAATCTCCTAGTTTCCAATCTAGTGCTGCATTATCTTCAGAATTAAATTTTTTAGCTGTTAATGCTTTTATTCCTTTTGCGCCTAATAATTTAACTATCTGATCATTAGTAAGTCTATAGTGAGTATTGCTTTCTGAGACTGCTAGACCTAAAAATCCTGTGCAAACTAATAAATTCTTTTCTCCCTTTTTCATTTTATATGCTCTACTCTTTATTCCTATTTTTATCTTTTTATGAAAGGTCGAGGTTGGTAGTAAAAAGTCTAGGGTAAAATAAACTATTCCTCTTTTTGAATTCATATCTAGTTCATAACTACCTAAAATACTCTGTCCGACATCATTAAACCTATCATCATAGAGACATATAAACACTTTAGTTCCTAAATTTTCTCTGGTTAAAGCCTTAACTCCTACCACTACTAATCCTAAATGAGTCATTTTAAGGTGTTCATTTACTGCATATTTATAGCTTTCTCTTTCTATTAAATCTAGCTCTATTTTCTCATATTCTTGAGTTACGCTAATCATTCGTTCTCCATAGTGTTTAAATAAATATTGTTTTTTATGAATCTTACCTAGCTTATACACATATTTAGCTGGAATTAACTCTAACCTTTCTTTTTTAAATTTTTCTATCTGCTGTTCTACATCTATAAATTCTTCCACTTTAACATCTTCATCTTCATTACGCTTTTTACTACTACTTCCTTTTATTAGCTGTTTAGACATTTTTATTTTCTATAAATTCTACACACTGGTTTCTTAGGTAATTTAAGCTTTTCAAAATATCTAGCTATATCTTCCTCGTTTACTTGAGATTGAGGTTTGTTGGATTGTCCTTCTATTCCTTTTTCTTTCTGAAGTACTATTTTTTCTAAAGACGCTAGACGATTTTCTAAGCTATGTAGTTGTTCTGATAGGTATTCAAGTTTTTCGCACAATCGAATTAAAAATAAAATTTCTATATTATTTTGTCTTACTGATATTTTATCTGATTAATTTATTCCTTGATAAGTACTAATTCCTTCCGGGTTATTATGAAAGTCTTTTGCTTGTTTTAAAATAATCTGATAATCTCTATTAGCTTTCTTATCACTACTCATAAACTAATAACATTAAACTGATAACATTAAAAATTCATATTTTTTTTTGCTATTAGGGTGAAATTAATTAATTTTTTAATAAGTTCCCTAATAAAAATAATATATATATATATAAATAAATTTAAAATCACACGAGGGTGCTATGGGTAACTGACAACACAACGAAGTCGGTTGTGGGGAGCTTCTATTTACACACACTCATTCCCCTCTTTACACATCTTTTTCAATAAATAATTGGTTCGGAAGTAGATTTCTGAAAATAAGTAATTGGTTCAGAAGTAGCTTTCCGAAAATAAACAATTGGTTCAGAAGTAGACTTCCGAATTTTTATTATTTTTTTGACAATCAACTTTCGAATGAATTTATTTGATGTCTATAATAGTAATTTCACCTGAAAAAAAATTTATAATAAAAATAATTTTTATGAAGCGTGTGCAAAGAGGGAAAGGTGATGTGTAAATAGAAGTTCCCTCGGTTGTGCTTATCACAGTAGAAATATCCTTCAGCTTTTGTTCAAAAAAAAATATCCTTCAGCTTCACTTCCCCACTCATCAGTTGAAGTTCATCACTGCTTACTTACTTTCCCATTTCAAATGCTTCAATTCCAGATCCATATTCTAAATCCAGGTCTCATCTTCTCTCACCCTGCACTCATTTTTGCTGCTATTCACTCCATAAACTGTGTTTTTGTATCCAGTTGTATGTTTATTGATTAGGGTTTCGATTTCTCTGTCTGCTGTCAACGTAGCTTTTGTTTTTAATGTGAAAGAAAGCAAATTCATGTTAAATTTGGCATAAACCCAGTAGAAATCGACTTGTTTTGATCGCAAATTTGCATAACATGATTTTGAGAAGTTGGGTAGTGGAATTGTCAATCGTTATTCCAGTTTTGTCGCATGAACTATGAATGCGAGAATAGGAGTTATGGGTGCAATACGGCGTGGGTGTAAATCATAAGGTTGGTTTATGGAAAATTTAATTTAGTTAACTGTAGCAAGGTTGTTAAAATCGAGATCTGGGTAGGATCATTGGGAGGGATTTGTGGACTAGATGTAGAATCGGATTGAGGATCATAAGATTTTACTTTTAATGTAAAATAAAATGATAAATTATTTATAACGATAATGTATATTAAATAATTGTAAAATCACTAAAGAAAAATGATTAATTTGATATAATAATGTATCTTTTATGTTATCATAAATTAGAAGAGATGTTTGTAGAAAGAATTTATAGTCAAATTTTCTTATATAGATATACATATGTACATACATATATAAGAAATAAATAATAAGATTTTTTTTGGGTAGGTTCGGGATCGTAGTTGAATCGGGATTGTAATGCGATTTTACACGATTTTATGATTAGGATTGTAGTCACTTTAAGATCCTACTAAATTTGAGATCCTAATGTGATCCGGATTGTTTAGCCAAACTAGAGTTGTAGGATCTTAAGATCCTTTGATCCGGTTCGAGATTTTGATAACCATGAATTGTAATAGTTCTTGAGGACGTAGTACCTGTATTACTCTATTTTCTAAATCAGTCTCACATGGATTCTTTTATTTCTCATATCGTGTCAATTGGACATGATAAGCGTAGGGGTGCGGAACATGTGTTTGACACCCGTACTTAATTAGACATTTGGATCAATAATTTTATATGATATTTGAAGAAGTTCACATTATCAAGTAAAGAAAATGTTTTTCTTGCCTCTCACGCAGACGGGAGATAGAAATTGCATATTTTTCCTAAATCTTATTTAACCAATTTTTGGATACATATTTCAATATATTATGATGAGGTTTAGGAAGGCACAATGCTTGGACTTGCACCCGCACCTGATATTTATTCCTGATTCCATGTAAAATAGTTCAAAATGATTGAATACCTGTGTCCCTCTTATGTTAAATTCAAATTGTCTTGGGGTGTGAAAGAACAGAGTTCAGCAAGGTTTGATGTTTATATGGATCTGAATGTTGGCGTATGCCCCTTCCATTGGGATTTTTTTTTGGCATTCGTGAATCGAGGAATCAATCCGTGGCCCAAACAAATGAATATTAGGGGGACTTTGGGGATTATTTAGCTTTTATAAATAGTGCTTAGAATTGTTCGGCACAATTGTAGTTCTTGTGAACTTAAATGTGTTTCTCCACTATACCACTGTGGTTTTTCTCTACTTTGATGTAGATATCATTCAAATTTGTTTACAGACTTGGGAGGCTGTTTCTATTTAAGTTTTGGTTTGAACACAATTGACCATTTTGCCTTTTAGGTTGGAGGTTGAAAAAGGCTATTACTATTTTATTGGACAAGCATAAGCCGGTCATTAATATTTAGCCCAATTGTTGGCTGGTTCTAAGCATAGAGATGGTATTGGTATATGTGCAAAACAAAGTCATATGCCTGCACCTCATGATCATGAGTTCCTTTTTTGAGTACCTCATGATCATTAGTACCTTGTGGTTGAAGAAGACCTTCGAGAACAAATATTGGATATCACAGGAAAAGCGGTATTGATGAGCAATTAAATTCATTGGCTATTGTTAACTGGAAACTAGTTAATGGGACAGCACTTATGAATGGTATTTTGCATTGAGTACTAAATTTCATGTGCTGATTCTTAGCTGAATGACTGCTGTCATTGTGTTTGTGTTTACCCCTCTGTAAGTATGGGCAATGTTGTGGGTTTTTTAGGGTGCGATAATGTCTTTGATCCCTTACTTGCCTGTAATTCCTTGGCATTTATTTACAATCCATAAATCAATTATGGGCTGATATCTAAATAGTTTCTTTAAAAAGGTGATTTTTATTTACCTTTATCTGTCTATTCATCATTATTATTATTCTGTTCTATTATTGCTGTGATTAACCATTAGGAATGTTAGAGATGAATGCTGACCGCTTTTTGTGTGTGTGAAGTGCTCAATTATCTTATCCTTTAAAAAAATTAGATATTCATATATAAGTTACACAACAACACATGTTTCTCAGTTTTTTGGTACTTCTATTGCTGACTTCACACATTTGAGCAGCTTTTATACTAGGTTATTGATTTTGGGCACCTTTGAATTCCTTCTGCCGGTGCAGTTGAATTGATGGGATTGAGGAAGTGATAAAGAGTTGATAATTGCACTCATCTGAAGGAATGATTCTCTCTGCTCTTTTAACTTCTGTTGGAATCAATCTTGGCCTTTGTTTATTATTTTTTACTTTATATTCTATATTGAGGAAGCAGCCCAGTAATGCCATTGTTTATGAACCACGCTGGGTTGCTGAAGAAAAATCTGAGCAGAGAAGTCAGTTCAGCTTTGAAAGGTTATTACCTTCTTCTGGTTGGGTGAGAAGGGCATGGCAGCTCTCAGAAGAAGAACTATTGTCAATCTCTGGTTTGGATGCTGTAGTCTTCATGCGTATTTTTATCTTTAGGTAAAGCAGATCTTTACAGAGGACTTAAATTTTGAAATTCTGTTCTATAGGACTAGGAGTACAGCAGTAAGCAGACTAATATTTGTGAAATAACTAGATATCTGCGATTCAGCATACGTGAGTGTATTTTTTATGAAGTCCAAATGAAATCAAGAATCGAATAGAGAGAGAGAAGACCAATGTCCCAATTAGGGGTAAAACCCCTAAGGGCTAGCAAGAGGAACTAAGCTCTACTCCAATCGCAATGAATATTCTCTATTCCCAAAAACTAAGTACAATGGGTATTACATCACCTATTTATAGACTACAAGCAACAAGCTATTTAACACACACCATCAAGAATCAAATAGAGAGAGAGAAGACAAATGCCCCAATTAGGGGTAAAACCCCTAAGGGCTAGAGAGAGAAACTAATCTCTACTCCAATCACAATGAATATTCTCTATTCCCAAAAGCTAAGTACAATTGGTATTACATCAGCTATTTATAGACTACAACCAACAAGCTATTTAACATAAAAACTAGTCTATTTATTCTACTACGTCAATTTTCTTTAAGAGACTTAGTATTACATGCTGTCTCTCTCTCTCTTTTTGCATGCATATGTGTCTTTAAATGTACTATATTTCCCTCATGCTATAGGAAATGTTCAAAAGATTCTTATGCTAATTGTGTTACCATATAGATGACGAGATTAAAGAATATGCCAAAATTAAGAAGGTAACTTTAAATTATATTTAATATAACCAAAAATTGTGTCAAAGATGAAAGTAAAAAAGGGCTATCAATTTTATCAATTTGCCAGCATTATCTCAAATAAAAGGAGCTAAATATAAATGTTCCAAGTTCAAGTAGTACATAATGTCTACCTGACAGTTATGCTACTTGTATTCTTCTACAACCTGCCTACAATTTCGTGGGCACTTCAACTCAATTAACAAAGTCTTGAATGATAATTTCCTAGTGTTTGTGTGGAAGATTATGTTTCTTTGTCTGGGGGCTTTTTGTTATTTATTATTATTATTTTTTGGGTGGATGGGAAATTTCAGTTTTGGATACTTTCTTGTTATAGGCATCAATTTAACAAGGTCCCTCATGTTTCTTTGTCTGGATACTTAATTTTTTGGGTGGATGGGGAATTTCCCCAATCTCAATTTTCTTTTGGAGTTTAGTGTGATTGTTTTAGTTATGCTGTACACATTTCATCGGTGCTCTGTGTGCATGAATAAGGTAAAGTAGTCTGACAAGATGCGCTAGAACTGTTTGTCATACTATTGGCCTCTGTTTAAAATATCAACTCATCTGGTCATTGTTGGGCTTCTCTCTTGATTACTAGGTGTAGATTGATTACATTTTAACAGTATTCAGAGCATGCTATGTATTGATTTCCTTAGTTTAGGAATAAACTCGCATTCTTATGTCCCTTTGTAGAATGATTATGTTTCTTTTTGTTTGATGACACAACTTTAGTGCTCATACTTTAGCCTTTTTATGGACCAGTCACTTTTTTTTTTTTTTTTTGGTGGTATTGTATCAGAGACTAAGGGGGTGTTTGGGAAGAGGCTTTTTGGGCTAAAATACCATTAAAAGACAAAATAGGTTAAAATAGCCAATAAGACAAAATTTCACATCAAACCCTTAATCATTTTACTTTTTCTCTCACAAACATTACATCCAATCCAATTGCAAAAAAATCCAACCCTCTTCCCAAACACAACTATTTTAACTAGGCTAAAATAACCAACTGCTAAAATAACCAACTCCTAAAATAGCCAACTTCCCAAACGGGGCCTAGGTGTTCTGATTGTATTTCTATCACATAACCTGCCTGTGTCTTGATTGGTTCCCTGATCTGTTAATGCCTACTTTTATCCTTCTTGTCACATATTTTAAGCAATAATTTGACATATGATAACATTCTTTTACATTTCAGCTTGAAAGTGTTTGCTTTTGCTGGGACTATTGGTGTTTTTATTCTTCTTCCTATTAATTATCTGGGGGATTTTTCTGACTTGGCAAACAAGTCCTTGGATTCGTTCAGCATTTCAAATGTCACTAGTGGATCAAACAGGTGATTACTGGTTGGCCTTTTGAACCAAAAAGTTTATATGTACTCATGCAGCTTCAAACTTTTGGTTTCAATGTAGCTGAGGATAACATGGAATGTATTTCTTATGGCAAAACCACATGGGATGATATTTTATTCTGTTCTTATTAATTTTTTTTTTCCTTCTAATGATGTTGACTGTCATGTTATAGATGCAATCATGTGTCATTTATCCTGAAACCTGGTGTCGATTTTTTTAGCATTGGTTCCCCCTCTCCTGCCCCTCCCATTTTTTTAAAATTTATTTTTTATAAATTTTTTCTACTCCTTTTATATATTTATTAAATGTAGTTACAAATATCGAGGTAAAATGAAGTTCATTGGAAGTTTGATCCCTTCAATGGCATGAAGAACTTTTTACCTTTCAAACATTTTTCTACACTGAAATTTTCAAGCTAGTGCATGAAACTGTATTGTTTGCAGTGGAAGTCTACTGTAGACCTCTTATCTCTATATAGTGTTTGGTTGTTTTCTGGTGCAAATTTACTTAGATGGGTCTAACTATGTCGGACTTCTCAAGTCTAATTTATGTATGGAATGTTTTATTGGTAGCACTTTATCTGGTCTTGACAATTGTTATTCAGAAGTTTGTCGGGTGGCTATTAAAATTATACTTTATTACAGTAGCAATTTTCTGTTTCAGTTGCATACTTTGTTTGCAGATATTGTTCGTGAAGTTCTGAATGGAGTCATTGATGGAATCACAATTTATTTTAATTGCATTGCCTTCTAGTATGTATTTAGTTAAGTCTGATGCAGAAAACCTGACTATGTTTTTTGGCTTTTCCTAAGGTTATGGATTCACTTTTGTGCTGTTTATGTTTTCACGGCATTTGTCTGCTATCTTCTTTATTTTGTAAGTAATATTTTGTGTACCATTTTTATTGCTGGTTTATTGGAGGGAGAAAAAACATCAATGGAGTTCTAATCGCATCTGGAATATGATATAATCTGCAGGAGTTTAACTATATTTCATCAAAAAGGATTGCCTATTTCTATGCATCCAAACCTCAGCCACATCAGTTTACTATATTAGTAAGAAGTATCCCCGTCTCATCCGGGATCAGCGTCACTGAAAGTGTTCAAAACTTTTTTACAGAGTATCATTCTTCCACGTATCTCTCGCATTCAGTGGTTCGTCAATCAGGCAAACTTCAGCAGCTACTTGTAAGCATTTGTGTGGAAGCTTTGTAGATTTCTTTTCTTTTCTGATGGGAAACTGCAGTTTTATTTGCTTACCCTTTTATCATGGTCATAAATTCTAATTGTTGGAAACTTTTATTGTTTCATTCTTTTATGAGGGTTATTTATTTTAGCTAATAGTATGCATATATATTGTCACTTTCTGCTCACTTTTCGAGAAAAGCCCTTTTTATTTTATTAGTAAAGCCTAAAAACTTACTTATTGAAAAACTAAGCACTAACGAGCTCCCTCTCTTTCTTCTTCTTCTCTCTCCTCCTATGTCTTCTCTGGTTCTTCACCATTACCTTCAGCTCTCTCTCCCATCAAGGTTCCTCCATTTGTGGGCTGCATGTGTAACTTGATGTTTTATGGAGACCAACTTCAAGTTGTATGGCAGACAACATTTAGATTTGATTCTTTTAATCCATGAAATGCATGGATTGTATGTTTAAGTGTCTCAAGACATACTAGCTTAGAATAGTTTATTGTGCTCTTATTATTATCATCAGCTTTTTTTTGGTAAGGTTAAGTTTTATTCTAGAACCGAAGGAATTATTATTATCATCATCCTTTTTTGGTAAGCGTGTTATTGTTGTCATCGTCATTTTTTTGTGTGTAATTGGTTCATGTGAATGAAATTTTGAGCCTTTTGGAAGATTAAATTAGTTGCAGTCTGCACTCCTTTTCATACATTGTTCAATTGGAGCATTAGAACAAAATTATTTTAGATATAACACTTCAGATGTGGTTTAGTGCACATCCTAAAACTATATCAACTTTCTTTCTTTTTCCTTTGTGACTTCTATTCATTTGATTTTTTTCTTCTTCTAGAGTGATGCAGATAAATTGAATAGGAGGCTTGTTCGCTTGAAGTCAACAAACCGTGCTCGAGAAAGGTTGAGGCGTGATGGCTTTTTGGGATTGTTTGGACACAAGGTTGATCTTTTAGATTACCATGAAAAGAAGCTACAAGACTTGGAAGATAACATGCGGATAGAGCAATCTTCACTGGTGGGAAAGGTACGTGCATTGAGTGTCTTATCAAGTTATCATTATGGATAGCTTCTGGCCATTTGTGGGAGTGGTATATCCTGTTGGCGGAAGTTGAGAGTTAAAGCCCCAGTATTGTGATGGGCTTGTGTTGTTAGTATCCACCTCACTAAAATAAAAAAGAAAAGATCGTTCAGCATATTTTAATCAGCCAGGAAAAAAGATCGTTCTGAAGGAAACAAAAAAGTTTGAGAAGTTCACGTTTGAAGTTTTCTGGTGACCTGGTTCATTCATTTTCAGATTTTCCAGGATAGTGATCCTTTTTCAGTGGCCTGGACATGTTACTGGATGCATAAGTAACAATCACAGGAACTCACCCATAAGAGCTACTAGCACAAGGGATGTCATTTGGGTTCATTGTTCCTACTTATATACCCAAGATCACCCATGCAAACTTCCAATGTGGGACGGGGTCGTTAAAACATATTTGTGTCCCACCTTTTAAGTGGATTTTGTAGACCAAGCATCATGGCCATTGATCTGTGTGCTTATGCTTGGAATTATGTACTAGGTTCTGTTATGTGTGCCACGTACTACATTGCTTCACCACAAAATAAGTAGCTCAACAGACGTCATAGTTGTTTGAGCTGGGTTTTGGCATGGAGGACATTAGAGGGCCGGCTAGCTTAATTTATAAAAGAAGGCCACAAATACACACTGCAAATCATTGAATGATCATGTGCTTGCCTGTGCCAAGCATAGTATCACATTGTAAAAGAGGCAACAGTCGAACTGCCTGTCAACTGCACTTGCACTAATAACAGCATAAGTTCTTGGAAGCAATTATGCGATTTCTTGCAATTTTGATTTCATTATTCTAAGCCACTTCATGGTCTTGGTGGGGATTTTAATTGCATAAGTGGCCTTCAAATCCACACTAGTGTTTGTAATCCTACACTAGACAAGTATTTCAACTTTTTATCAGTATTCCATGCAGACATGTGAAGTGGTATTATATCTACATTTATTGTAAGGCATCTTCTGTGTTTATTTTTGAGACATGACTGATTATGTGTTTGTCTATGCAAGACATTTATATGCAGCATTCTCCCCTCTATGATAGTTAATTCTTAGATAATAATAGCTTATTTGTGTAGTGCTTGAATTGATTTCAAGATGGTATCTGATACGACCTGTTTTACAACTATGCCTTTCTCATCTAATAGGAAGTTCCGGCTGCCTTTGTGTCTTTCAAGTCGCGTTATGGTGCTGCAGTAGCTTTGCACATCCAACAAAGGGTCAATCCGACCGAGTGGGTTGCTGAGCCAGCTCCTGAGCCTCAGGATGTTCACTGGCCCTTCTTTTCTGCATCATTCATAAAAAGATGGATTTGCAAGTTCGTGGTTGTTGTCACATATATTTCTATTACAGTTCTATTCCTTATTCCAGTTTTCATAGTGCAGGGTCTTACTAATCTGTCTCAGTTGGAGACCTGGTTCCCTATTCTGGAAGGCATACTGAGTATGTAAGTTGCTACCAACAATTTCTTGTATAGTATGCTGGATTTGTTTTTCCTTGAGATCAAGCACATGTGAAAGATCTTTGATGGCCCTGTGACATTTTGCAATTACGTCTATCTGCATTTACCTCTGAACTTCTACAAACGACCTAGAGGATACCGTGTACCTGTCCACTACTAGAAAGCTTTAGAGTAATGAAATGGATGTTAATCACGTTGGCTTTAGAGGCCATCTTGACTATTAATAACTTGAGAGGAGGGGCAACATTTTGATGAATTAACATTACATGTGCAATGGTATGAATGAATGTATAAATCACCTGCTCCTTCATTGTGTGCTAGCTAGGGATTGTGGGGCTTGCTTTTCTCCATGTTTGGAACTTGCATGATCTGCTTGGCTGCTGGAGTAGAGGATGCCCTCAAGCAGAGTGAAGAAGACACAGGAAGTGCCGACTCTGGTGTGCTTGACGTGGTGCTAATGGAGTTGTAGGGATCATAGGAAAGTTTGAACTCCCGGTTCACAAGTGGAAGGGAGTGATGAGGAAAGTTTGAACTCCTGGTTCACAAGTGGAAGGGAGTGATGTTGACTATCTTGTGTTTTTGACTTTTGGAGTTTTTTCCCTTTTCAATTATCTAGGGGAATTGTGTATTCCAACAGATATATAGGGGCTGTGCCTCCCTTTTTAGCATCTCTTGAGGATATGGACTGACTTCTCAAAAAAAAAAAAAAAAAAAAAAAAAAAAAAAAAAAAAAAAAAAAAAAAAAAAAAAAAAAAAAAAAAAAAAAAAAAAAAAAAAAAAAAGAAAAGAAAAGAAAAAAGAAAAAAAGAAAAAAAGAAAAGAAAATAATGATATAGAAATTGGATTAGAGTGAATGTGGAAAAGTAATAACAAGAACTAATTGCATTTTCTTGAAGTTTTACTTATAATTATAACTTGAGTGCATTTTATCTGTCCAAAAAAAATGAAAAAAAGGGTGCATTGTGTTTCTTTGATTTATTGACCAAGCCAAGTTCTATGAGTTATAAATACAATTTAAGGTTTAGCAAATTTGACCTTTTTATGCCACAAATAAACCTATATAAACCATTACGTTATCAGCCATCATATATGGTTAGTGTAGAAGGTTGATACTTCAAATGTAAAATGAGCTGTATGGGAGTAATTGAGATGCCCATTTAAGCACTTCCAGCAGAAGGTGAATTCATTGAAGCTGTGAGGCCTTAAAGCATTCTTCTTGGGCCTTGCTTTGAGGACGCTAGTCAAAGGCCAAGCCTCAAGTCAGTTTTGTCAACTTGTGTATTGTGTAGTTTAATGAAAATGGGAAAAAGAATCTGGATACGACTAAAATGTGGTATAGTAATATTAGACTATTAGTACTATCAAGAAGCTCTTGGAAAATTTGGCACTAATACTCTTCTTGAGTCTTGACATTGCTGCTGTCCCTGTTGAGCTTAATTTTTATTCTTTTTTGAGCAATTACATGTTATGGAAGACAATGTACTAAAGCAAGATCTTTGTGATATACAGAGCATTCGTCAGCGAAGTGATTACAGGATATCTTCCTAGTCTTATTCTCCAGATGTTTCTATTGTTTGTGCCACCCGTTATGTTGATGCTTTCTTCCATCCAAGGGCATATTGCATTCAGCCGGATAGAAAAAAGCTCATGTTTCAAGTTATTGGGGTTTACCATATGGAATGTATTCTTCGCAAATGTACTGTCTGGATCAGCTCTCTACCAGGTTAATGTCTTCCTAGAGCCCAAGGAAATTCCTCGTGTATTAGCTGAAGCTGTTCCAGCACAGGTAAAAATTATTACCATTACTGATTGGACCTTTCCGAAGTATATCTATGGTGTTATTTTTCCTCCACAGTGGAAGCAAATCTGTGAAATTTCAATGGCATGTGTTGCATTTTATTGTTATGATTCACACTGATATGTCTCATAAATGTTTGAACCTTGAAGTGTATTTAATCCTCTGCCTGGGATCCAACCAAAGTGAAAGGGGAGTAAAAAAAGATATGTGCATTCTTACATTTGTAGGCAGGCTTTAGTGATTTTTTTTTTGTTTGGCATATTTTGAAAGAGGTTCAACACTTTATGTTGTTTGTCGAGGAAGTAGTTGACGAAATTGGAGTTGGGGGTTTGTTACTTGAGACTTTAGAGAGGTTTTGTTCTTGTGTGTTTTAGGATAAGTTACAGTTAAGATTATTAGCAATTTTAGGTTTTAAATGCCAAGTGTTTGTGGTTGGAGAGACTATAATGGCCATTTTTGTTACTTTGAGTTGACTACCATGACACATCCACAAAATCAACGTATCTGGTGTTTGGATAGGGAAGAAATAGAATTGAGGACATTATTTATCAAAAAAAATAAAAAATAAAATAGAATTGAGGACATCAAAGGAACATGGGTCCATTTAGCCAACCTCGTGTAGTTGGGATAGGGCCTATGAAATTGAATTGTGTCAAGTTTGTTACAAGCTAAGATATATGACCTTATGTTAGAACACTACATCTTGTTGTGACATGTGGTGCAGTCTGACACTTCGATTAGAATGTCCCCTATGATGTGTATCTTGTCACAAATGGAGGGTGGCATTTCCTTGGAGACTCTACATAACTTCCCACCAAAAGATTCTTTCCATATGAATATGATTGAAAGGTTTTGTTGCCTCTCAGAGTGACACAGAGAAGAGCTTGGTATAGTGGAATACTGGATATCATGTAATCCAAAGTTTACAGCGCATTGATGTGTGCCATGTGTTGGTGTTCTCTATAATGTTAGGTTGAGAAATCCAGACAGCAAATTGATATTAACGATTTGCAAATTGTAGTTTGGATAAATAACAAGCATGAATGTGGCTTATATGATGAAGTTCAATGTGGATCTTTTTGTTCGCTATATTTATCTGGAAACATATACATCTATCTAGCTAGTTTATAGGTGTCTTAGGATTGGTGGGAAAACGGGAGTCATTGTGGAGTGGATGCCATGGTTTGAATCCGATTGACTATCACCAAAAAAAAACAAAAAAAAAAAAAAAAAAAAAAAAAACCTAGCCAGTTTAACTTATGGAAGTTGTACTACAAAGATATTGGATGAAGGTCATGGTACAAAGATACTGGATGAGATTTTGTATCATATGGTCCTTTAAATGCATTACAGATATATAACGCATAAATGCAATAATGGTTACTTGTAAGATTTTTCTAGCAAACTGGTTTTTTTGGCTTCAAATCCCAGCTCTTTTGAAACCATTTCCTGGATTTCATGATATACTTCGAGGATATGATGCTAATGTTATTTTTGTTGCAGGCTTCCTTTTTTATTGCATATGTTGTGACATCTGGCTGGACGGGCACATCTAACGAACTTGTTCGACTGTTTCCCCTCATCTGCAATTTTATAAAAAGAAGATTGTCAGGAAAAGATGGTGATGATTTTGAGGTGCCTTCAATTCCTTACCACAGTCAAATTCCCAAGATTGCCTTTTTTGGACTTCTTGGTGTAACATACTTCATCCTTGCACCCCTAATTCTTCCATTTATCTTGGTTTACTTCTGCCTAGGGTACATCATCTACCGTAATCAGGTTAGTTGGATGCTTTTTTTTACTCTTATTACATTGGCGGCTCTTACTTTTTGTGTTGTTAATGTAAATAAAAGAAGTTTTGTCTGCAAAAACATAAAAATAAAAATGCTGGGTGCACTTTCCTCTACAAGACAACCAATCAAGTGCATCTGAGCTTGTTGAAGGCATAATTTGTTTTAGAACCTTTGCTGATGTATACCTTAATGTGATCAATGAATTGCAATGTTGTAAGGACTTCATTCACTTTTATTTTTATAATTTGTGGATGTAATATTAAAAAAATATATAAAAAATATATTTATTTATTGTGCCTTTGCCATGTTGTGCCTTGATTTTTTATTTTTTTTATTAAACTGTTGTTGGTCTACCTAGTGGAGCCATTCTGAATATTTGAGTGTTGCCCATGTGCTGGCTTGCTTGATTGGCAATTTGAAATTTTTTAGCATATTTCTTGTGTAGCTATTGAATGTTTATGCACCCAAGTTTGAGACTGGTGGAAAGTTTTGGCCAGTAGTACACGGTTCAACAATATTTTCCCTGATATTGATGCAAATTATTGCCATTGGAATATTTGGGCTGAAGGAACTTCCCCTAGCATCCGGCTTTTGTGTTCCTCTTCCAGTTCTCACTCTTATATTCAATGACTATTGCCAGAAACGTTTTCTACCCATATTCCAGGCTTATTCTGCTGAGGTACGTTTATACAGAACACCAATTGTCTATTCATCCTCTTGATTTTTATTGTTTAGTTGATATTAACTGATATGGAAGACATTTTGTATATATTACTTACTAAAAGAAAAAAGAATCAAAATCCCCCCCAAAAAAAGAGGGTAAGTTGTATGTTACTCACTGGACTACTGTGAAGTTGTATTGTAGTTCCATAGCAATAGTCGACCTAATCTTAAATACTTTCCTTTCCCATATTTTAATGTTTTCTTTATAAATTTTTCCAGTTGCATTATTTCTGTCTGACCAATATACGCTGAGCATGTTGCGTGCCATGCAGTGTTTGATAAAGAAAGATCGTGATGATCAGAATGATCCTTCAATGGTCGAGTTCCTCAACGAATTAGTCACTGCATATCGTGATCCGGTTCTGATGCCGATTCAATATTCTGGAAGAAATGATAGAAACACTTCTCTCCTTCATGCTGCTGAAGTTTGAAGTTGGAGGTAACATTAATTACTAACTACCAAGTTTTAAGTAGCACTACATGGTCCTTTAGATTGTGCAGTCTCGTGAATGGTTTGTTGTGATGGTGAAAACCAAAAATAAATGTGATGTACATTACAAAGATATTTTTGGTTCCTAAAGGAAATCTTCTTCTTGTTGTTCGTTGTTTGTTGTATCATTATAAATAATAATCATTATCATCTCAATAACAACAGAGTTTATTATTGTTATCATCATGTTGTCTTGGTGTCTTTTGATTTTAATTGAAATTTAAACACTATCACACCTGAGCCAAAGAAGTCTAAACCCCCTACGTTTAATGCTGCAATTATTTATTTATTTTTATTTGTAATAGAAATGTAACACACCACACCACCAAACCTAGGCAAAAAAGGTCAAAACCAACACATTTACCCTTGAGACACTACTAGAAATATGACTTTTGTTGCAAAAAATCACTTTTTATACCAAAATCTCATTTTACTTAAACCCCAATCGCGTTCTTAACTTAAAAAATAAAAATAAAAAAATCGTGTAAAACTTGCCCTAGGTTTCACTCTTATTTCCCAAATCTTGATTTCGCTCTCTCTTGATTTCGCTCTGTTTTCTTTCTCGATCACCATGGTCATTTGAAGAAGAGACCTCCAATAGTATGAACTCTCTCTCTCTCTCTCTCTTGGTCAATCTAACTCTCTCTCAACTACGAAGCTTTGGTTTGAATCAATCGTTTTGCTATATTTTCATATTGTGTGTGTGTGTGTTCATTCATTGCTGAGTAACTTTGATTTAGGGGTTGTTTGGGGTGTCCTAAATAAGTGTATTTTTTGTCTTTTTAGACTAAAAAGTTGAGGAAAAAAAGATGGTTGTTTGGGATAATTTTTTGACTTTTTATGAAAAAATGTGTATTAAAAAATTGTATAAATTAGTGTATAGGAGAAGATTGGATGGTGTAGGTTGTACAATAGGCTGAAATGAGGGACAGCGTCCTCAGAGTGTTGTTTGGGAGATGATTCCTTGCGTTTTGGGCATTGAATTGGGGTGCTATTCGGCCCAAGGAGGCCCACCACGGGTCCCGTTTTGCTAATTAAAACCGTTAAATATGTAGAACTCGTCGAGTACTATATTCTTGTAAAAAATCACGTTGATCGGATATCGATAGCTGTCTGATCGGATTAGTTTGTTTTCAACCGTTAACTATGACACCATCTATTTTATAAATTTTAACTGATTTGATCATATACTTACCGATATTCAATCAACGTGATTTTTTACAGTCATGTAGTACTCGACGAGTTTTACACATTGACCGATTCAGATTATTAAAATGGGATCCTTGATGGGCCCCTACGAGCCAAACAACACCGTGTTATTTATACACCTAATACCGTGCAATTTTTCCAAAAAGTGACCTCTACGTGTTGTACAGCAGAGTTGTTTGAAATGTTATTATGTGTTAAATTAATTTTTTAATATTTTTTTTTGGTGAATAGTGCTAATTTTTTTACTTTTTTTTTGTAACTTTTTGGCTTTTTGTCTTTTTTCAAAGACCCCAAACCAAGCCTTATACCGAGATCACATATCTTTCTGATCTGCTTTTAATTTTCGTCTATATATCCTTACTATAAGTTCAATAGTCATGATCGGTGATGGATTTTTGTGGTTCTGCATGTATAGAAATTGTATCGGCGTGTGCTCTGTTCTAATACCTTCTGAAAATTTTCTTCTGTTTTAATACCTGCTGAAAATTTGATCGAATTTTTGGTCATACTAGCAAAAAGAAACTATATTTATTTCTTATTTATTTTAGATTTTTGATCATTTGATTAATTTCTCCTAAAACCGAACTAATTGGTACATATATATGTACCAGATCTGGTGCAATGCATTTTAAACAAATCGAACAAATCAGACTTTGGTAACCAAAACCGTTCTCTCATGTAACTTTGTGTTTTGAATTGATTCAAACATTCTAATTTGCTATATTTTCTATTAAAGACACTTCGTGATTGATAGTCCGGTTTGAATTTCTGGTGCGTTATGTTTGTTTTTGTATTGCTGTTTGTTATCTTCTCCATTAGTCGTAGTTGATTTCTATATTGCTGTGTTAAATTTTGATTTCAAGCACTCTCTATAGTTTTCAATATCAATTTAGTTTGATGAAGCTCAGAAGTAATTTAGATCTTGAATTAAATGATGAATTACTTGCTACTGATATCTTTCTCGTTTTTGAATTTTTTTTGATTCTGTGTTTTTGGGGTTGAAGTTCATGGAAAACAAAAGTGTTTCTTGGAACTTCCAAAGCGTTTTTGGACATTTATTTAAGTAGAGCAGTGGCTTTCTATCATCTCGAGAAAACATTAGTGTGTTTTTGCATTAAAATACAGAAACAGGCCACTCACTTTTCTTTTGGGTTTTGCATGCTTCATTTTCTAAATTTTTGTTTCTCTATCTATCTTCTCACTCTTCTAGGACAGAAAAAATATCTGTATATACAAATATGGCACACCCAGATGTTAGTGTTTGTTTTCTTTTGGATGGATTATGTATTAACTTTTTGGCTGTCTATTTTGATTTTCATAATGTTCAATCTTAGGTTTTTACAATTAATTTGTTGGAATGTTTATAAAGTTTTCATTATTTCTTTGCAATCTCTGCATTTTTTCTACTCTGCTTGAGGCTTTATATCTAAAGAAAGATTTAGAAATTGGGTACTTTGTGTTCTGATCTATTCTCCATCATAATGTGTATTGATTAGGTGCAAGCTTGGATTTGAGGAACATATATCTCCATGGTGAGTTTTTTTGTACATCTCCTATTTCATATAGGAATGAAAAATAATAATAATGATTTGATTTGAAAGGTCTGAGCTGCCATTGGATTCTTGTGAGTGATCCATAACACCATGTTCTTCATTTTCCATCTCTTTTTCTGTGTTTTCACCACTGTCAACTATCTTAACATCCTCATACACCTGAATGGCCTATCACAGTGGGTCTTAATAAGCAATCATATTTATAAGTAGAAAAAAACTTAATGACACCAGATAAAGTTATTTAAAAATTGATATAGGGTGAGCATTTTTCTAGTGTTTTGTGGCCATTCTTGCCATTAGTGCTGATGGGTCACTAAACATTGTTGTAAAGATGACATAACTTAGATAGGCCATTGACTTAATCTGGTTGACTAACAGATGGGGTGTGGGCTGCAGGTTTGATTACAGTTTTATTTGGATAAAATACAAGCCTAATTCCATTTATCTAGTTGCTCATAATATCAGTCAATCTTCTCGATATGAAATTGTGCAGTCCCAAAATGTGTTATAAAGTTTAAAATGGTGGAAGATAAATAGTTTTTGTTCTGCCTTTTAATATGAAAACGGTTCTGAACATGCAATATCTTTTGTAAAACAAGATATAGGTTTTTCTTGGTACTTTGAATAATTTCTAATTTTATACCTTTTGTGCTATTCTTTTCAGAGTTTGGGGTTATGCATCAGTTCTCATGTTTTCTATCATTGTGGTGAGAGACTCATAGGACCAACAATGAAGTTGGTAACAAATTGGAACTCGATCAGTACCTTGTACCAATGGTGAACATCAGCATTGTAGATTTTGGCTTTACTAGCATTTTATCTGGATTGTGTTTTTGTCATAAAAGAACTTTTTTTTCAGGTTTTTAGTTGTAATAACTTTTACATATGGCTCCAATTTTGAGACTCAAATGGAATTCCTGATTAAACTATAATGTTATACTGCCTGAATTCTTGTCATTGCTATTCCTAAAATGCTTAACGTTACACTTTTTTTTTTTTTTTTTTTTTTTTTTTCTCGATGGTAACAAGATGGTTGTCAAAAAACATGTTAACAATTTTCTTTGTTTTTTTGTGACGGTAAAATAGCAGTCGTCGTAAATAGTTTAGGTGGTCGTGAATAATTTGCGATCGTCGTTTTGTCATCGTAAAAAGTATTTGTCACTCCACATTTGCGATCTCCATTTACCATTGCATGAACTGTTGCAAAAAATCTTTTGCAATTGTATTTTTATTATTTGTGACGGCTTGTAGGGGTATGTATTTTTTGGTAGTGAGGGGGCCTCATCTCTGGGAGGAGTGAATGATGAAGACTCACAAGGCTTGGTATGGTGGGTCTTATAGACAAAGATTTAGAGGGAGCTTTGCTCTTAAACTTGAATTCCCACTTAGGTGCCTTTACTATGAAGGTTGTGGTTATCTTCCCTCAAAAGAGTTTTTACTATAATGAGATTTGTTATGTATGATGTTGTATCGAATGTTCAAATAAAATATAAAGAAAGAGTTGTCCATACTAAATTGGCAAAATGTATATGCAATTTTTTTTTTTTTTGACAACAATGATTGTAACATTTATTGAATAATTTTCCAAGAATAAATTAATGCTTATTGATGCCCGGTTACAAATTGTTGACTTCATCCAAAGTACACTAGCCTAAGCTACTACCTAGAGGATGAGGTGGTTCAAGGAGAGGAGAGGAGAGGAGAACAGAAGAAAACCCCAATTCCCGCTACGCCCTTAATTATTCCAACTAAAGAAAAACTAGAAACTGCCAAACCACTGAGCCAAACTCTTATTCGAAGCATGCCATCCACACTTTTGGCACGTGGGACTGACTTTTAAAGTTCATCATGGTCACGGTCATCATCAGGTTTAGTGTGATCATGAATGTCAAGACCACGGTTTTTGCGAGGCAAAATGCTACATAAAGAGGACCAAATTGGAAGGATTTTTCTCAAACCCATGATGTAGTCTTTTGGCGGTGCCAGAAGCAAAGTTGAAGCGTGCGTAGGAATCCCCTTTGAATAGATATGCCTCATCTCTCTTGTGTGAAGCAAGTGCTGCATCAATTCCGTTTTCAAAGATGGTTTTTTTCAAACTAGGAAAGCCTTGAGTGATGAGACGGATGACAAACAAAGAGGTGGGAATCAGAACCGTAGTTTATATGAGCATACTGGTTGTCTTTGAAGAGGTACGCTTCATACCTTTTCGTTGACTCAAATGCCGCGTCTACACCGCTTTCAAAGACGGTCCCTTTGAAGAAGGGGAACATTGCAGTAATGGTCATCGGACCTTTGATTATCTTGTCATTGGTGGTGCCTGGTGCGTAGTTAGTCTGTGCACAGAGATTCCCAGTGAAGATGAACGCTTCATTCTCATTATGAGACCCGAAAGCACAGTCTATTCCATGTTCTGCAAAGGCTGTGCCTGTGAGGGATGGATACCCATGGCAGACAAGAACCGGTCCATGCAACACCTTGTCTTTTGAAGCTCCTGGAGCATAGTCTATTAGCACATACTCGTCCTGCATGAATATATAGGCTTCATTTGCACGAGACGAACGGAATGCAGCATTTATGTAGCTCTCAGAGTTAGCTACATTGCCAGCATACCAATCGGTGGTGTCACAGCCAAAGTCAGACTCGATGGACACTTGCTGTTTCTCTTGCTCAGAGACGGCGATGGACACTTCTTGTTTCTCTTGCTTGGACACTTGTTTCTCTTGCTCTGAGTTGGAGATGGACACTTGTTGTTTCTCTTGCTTGGACACTTGTTTCTCTTGCTCGGAGACGGAGACGGTGACGGCACTGGGTCGGTAAATACTAATTGTTAGAGGCACCCTTCCACCATTTGCATCCAAGCAATCAAATATTGGCCTCCGAATGTTGAGCAACCTTGGTGGATGCGATTGTGGATTGAATTTCCCATTTATTCTTATTACGTTATCTATTTTCTCCCGTCTGGTATATATCATGCCAGCAATAAGGCTGAAGAGTTGAGCAGATCGGATGTATTGAGGAGCAATGCCAGCAACAAAGCAAACCTCGTCTCGGGCAGCGTACTGGTAACGATCACCAAGAGTCTCAGCGACCCAAATGCCACCGGGCGCATATATCTCGTATCGATATACCTCAATTTTGGTCTCAAGGTTGAGGCTGGGATGCCAAGCGCTGTTAAGCGTGGCGCTAACGAAAGCATGGGTGGCGGGCCGGGTGGAATTAAGAGGCCTGCCACCATGATGGATGTAGTGTTCCAGATTGAAGTAGACCTCATCAAGAGTGCCTTCTTGACGCCTTGCTTGGAATCCATTCCGAAAGACCTCCTGATAGGGGGAAAGATCCCAGCGAAAGACATGGCGGAGGATGTCTTCTTCTCCACTGCTGCTTCTGTACACAATGTTAGGCAGAGGGGGAGTTGCAATATGACAGTTAAAGTAGTAAACAGTTTCTACTAAAAATTGAGCTGCACGCTTGTCTTCTTCATTGACAGGTTGAGGGAAGTTTGCTGCACATCCTCTCCACTGTGAATTCGGCAGTATCGACATTTTCTTCTGTTTACCTGTAAAATAAACATCATACAAAAACTATGATGTGTATGATCTTGCATTAAATTATCAACATGTTAAAACTTCAACCCATAGGAGCTTATTTAAATTAACATCAACACATGACAATAACATAAAAACTACATCACCTTAATTGGAATAAATAAAAGCCCGACAAACTTTGATGCTCAATGAATAGGAGAGAGCTTTTGGTATAGAATTGATAGTTGAGACTTGTCTTGACACAACTGAGGAAACCTGAGGGACTAGGAAGGGGTATATATAGTGGTTCAGCCTTAGCCATATGTTGGACGTTGCGAAGAATTCTTTTGAGTCATCAAAATAAAATATAATACATTTCTCTACAGGCAAGGCATGTAATTTCAACAATATGCGAAAAGTACAATTCTTTTCTCCTTTTTTGAGAAAAGAGTATTTCAAGTTAAATATAAGTGTCATACTCCGTTTGGATGGAGTGATTTGGTGAGAAATGACAAGAAATGATGAGAAAAAGAATTCTTTTATGATATTTGATATATAAGTTGAGTGAGAAAGATGTGAAATAGTGAGAAAGAGAACTCTTACTGAGCTTATTTCATTTCTCACCAAAAGTGGAGAGAAACAAGTTTATTGGGAAATTCTATTTCCACACACTTAACCAATAAATTCTATTTCCACACACTTAACTACCTCAGTACACATCTTCTCTTAGTAGACACACTTATTAATTTGACTATGAATTAATTTTCTCAATCAACACTCAAAGTTACAACTATATCATTCACTCATAATCATTGTACACATACCACTCAATTCTCCTTTCCACACACTTGTTGAGTGACCCTACTCCTAGATTTGTAGACTCAATGTAGACCCACGTGAAGACCATTCAAGACCATAGTTTGAAGTGAAGACAAAGTCCTCCATTGAAGACTTCCATGGAAGACCCTATTGAACCTCCATTAAAAATACCATTAAAAATCCTTTAAAATATTGTTGAAGATGAGCCATCTTTCCAATTTTTTATTGCATTTACCATTTTTAGATCTCTATGCACTCCATTGCCATAAAATCCTGAATTTTTTTTTTTTAATTTTAACTTTTTTAATGTTTTTCGGTTTGGGGATTTCGGCATTAGTTTTTCGAAATTATACATTCAGTTCGAAACTTAACTTCCGAATAAAAGTGATTAGTTTGACAAATTTGTTCTTAAAATTTTTTTTTTTAAACTTTCGGAAATAGAATTTTCCAAATTTATTGGTTGTCAAATATTTATAATACCAAGATTGTCCTTTAAAATACAAAGAAAGAAAAACAAATCTCACTCATATCTCTCTCTCACATGCTTTGTTTTTTTTACTTATCTAAACATGATAGTAAGAAAACATAATTATTTCTTCTTTTTTTTCACCTAGATGAGAAACCAACCATCATTTCTTCTCTTTTCTCACCCTGCCATAGTGTAAAGGCAAGGCATGTAATTTTCATTAACATGGCTCTGAAGAATAAAAGTGTACATTTTTTTCTTTTTCTAAGATGCTTCCACTTTTGTGGACTTTTCTATATGCCTTGAGTCGGTGATCATTCATTCTTTCTTGTGGTTCAATGAATGAATTCACAATTGATAATCCCTCTTGCCACATTTCACACATTTTGTTTAATTTGCACTGGAAATTATGGTTTTGTTTGGCTTCAAAAAATGTCAAATAGAAAATTTCAATTTGGTTGAAAATATATAGAAAGTCTATTAACCTTTTTTTTTTTTTGATCGGCGAAAAAAAAAGACTTTATTGATGAAATAAATTAGAATTATATCAATAAAGAGGAGCTTGGAGCTAAAACAAGCTCCAATCTCTTAGATGGTGAGAAACCAACGAGCAAAGACAAACAAAGGAAACAAAAACCAGAAAAAACCAGAAAATTAGGCACAACAGCACCAAAGCAAGATCAGGCAGTACACCATCCCTTTAAGCACCAATGGATCAGTCCCTACAACATCCCTTCCAAGCACCAAAGCAGAACACCAGCACTTCGAAGATTATTTCAACCAACACAGCAGCAAAACTGATCAAACAGATCAGATCAGAATAGCACACAGCCATGAGCCAAACAGATCAGGCACAACAGAACAACACATCAGAGCAGAACACCCTCTAAACCAGATGCACCAGAGCAGAACAGCACCCAGAAATAGCAGAAAATCAGCAGTACACAGGTTAACACATTCATTGCATGATGCAGAATTTTACATTTTGCAAATTAAACACCAAATCATCAACTGAATAACAAAAGGAAGGACTTGAGGCTCTGAACCACAATGCAATCTGTGTTTTGATAAGATCACATATCTTTTCGAAATCCAACTGTGATTCGTTAAAAATGATTTCATTCCTCTACTTCCATAAAGGCCAAAATATTGCCAGTGGGATTATCCTCTAGATTGCCTTCAATCTATTATTGCATCTAAACCCAGTCCACCATTGAATAAGACCAACCACTGAACCCGGCTGCACCCAAGATACACCCCACCATCCAATAATATGAGACCAAACACTCCAACTGAACGTACAACACAGCAGCACATGAGATACAGTTTCCCTTTCATTCCTGCAAAATACGCAGTTAACATCAGAATTGGCACTTAGGATTCCAATTCTATGCAAATACGTAGCAGTCATGATCCTCCCTTTCCATGCTAGCCAAGCAAAGAATTGCACTTTCGGAGGAGCAACATTCTTCCAGATGAGATCCACCACTTTTGCAGGCATAGTAGATGGTGACTCCTTCCACTTATAGATAGACAAAACCGTAAAGGTACCAGACCTGTTTGCAGCCCAAGAAAGTCTATTAACCTAGGAAATTTAAATCGATGGTGTATATTTGAAGTTGTTATTGTGGGCTACACTATGAACGAATCTTGATCTTTAATTGCTGATTATAGACAAAATCATATTATGGTGAACCATTTTTGGACTTACATGAATCATTGTTGTGAATGAAAAAAAAATGTGGAGGTATGCATTGTCATGTCCTTTTCATAGTTTCATGTCCACTAAAATTAATGTTTGTGATAAGTATGCATGTTCTTATCCATTTCTTTCTTTCCATTTCCACTAATGCCCTAAGATACTTATTAATAAAACATCAATACCCTGCGCTCACACACAAAGTAATCAATTTTCAAAATTCCTACCACTTACTTAGAGACTTTGGTGGTTTTGGGCCATGAATATAACATTTTTTTTGGCCATGATAGCAGCAAGCCTACCGTTACGCCATTCACTCTTTTGTATTTTGTATATATTTTGTATGTGTATTATTCCTTTATGGATATGTATATAACTGTATTTTATGTGTAGAATTTTATGTACAATAGAAATAAAGGGTAGATGTTGATGAGGCGGTGGTGGCACGTTGTGGTGGTACGGTTGATGAAGATAGTGGAGGTGGTGGTGTTGTTGCCATTAAAGAGGTGCAAAGGAGGAGGACGGTAGAGACGGGTGAGAAAGAAGGGTGTTTGTTTGTGCTTGTTGCAGTTTTGCCATGTCAGCATCGTATTTTGATGTGTATTGTTTGGTTGTGGGAATATATTGTGTTGGACTGTTTTATTTCTTAAGAAATAAGGCAATTTTGGTATTTTGTCATTAAAATCTCTTAATATCTGTTTGGAAGATCAAACACAATATTATGCACCAATATGATGATTTCCAAAAGAGTCATAATCATACTCTGCATGTTTTCTCCGTCTCGTTTTATCATATCTCCACCTCAATTATATTTGTTAAATATTTGTATGTATATATAATAAAATTTTCTTAAATATAGGGAAACTAAAACACCTAAATATTTCAATAGCACTCGTTCACTTAATTTATTTCTTCTTTTACATACTTCAACTCTTGTTACTTGTCAATCATTATAGGAGTATCTTTCATAACACACTTCCACATCACCACACCTTGGTAAAAAAGGTCCAAACCGATACATTTTACTTCTGAAGGGGCCTAATCTCTTGGAGGAGTGAATGATGGAGACTCATAAGGCTTTGGTATGGTGGGTATTATATATAATTTTTTAGACGGAGCTTTGCTTTGAAACTCAGATTCCCTCATTGTTGTCTTTACTGTGAAGGTTATCATTATCTTCTGTCAACAAGTTTTTACTATAGTGAGATTTTTTTTTTTTTTTGGATTAGCAAATAGAATCTTTATTGATGGAAAAACCATACAATACATATGGGGGAACATCAATAAGGATGAGAAACAAGAAAGGAGAAAAATGAGTACCAAGCAAAATGTTGGTGAGGAACCAACAAAGCACACTCAGAATCTCACCCAGAACAGCAAAAGGATGATTTGCTCACCACCCCTCAGCAAGCTTCACAGCAAAAACAGCAGCATCGAAACACCAACACCAGACTATTGTACCAGTCCACTGCAACATATCAGAGCACCTCCCCTTACTGTCAACCAGCACTCCACCTGATTTGGTGTAGATTGCATACAATATCACGAACTGAGTACTCCACCTTCAAGTGCCACTTGGTCCATAAAGCAATCTGCATCTTAACCTTTTCACAAAAAACTTGAAAATCAGGATGGGCACCCTTGAACAAACACCCATTCCTCAACTTTCAGACAGACCAAAATACAACAGAGGGAATAGTCTGCCAGATTTTGAGTACCCAGGACTGGAGTGAGATTTGTCATTTATGCTGTTATTGTATTGTATGTGCACATAAACCGTAGAGAATGAGTTGTCCGCACACACACTAAATTCGCAAAATGTATATATAAGAATTATTTTTTGGCAACAATGAGAGTAAGGCTTGGTTTGGTTTGATTTGGTTTGGTAATGAATATAACATACATTGAATAATTTTCCAAGAACAAATACTTATTGATGTCGGTTACATATTGTTGGCTTCATCCAAAGATAAAATAAAATCATCCAAAGTACACCTCTATCCTAAGCTATTAACTGGAGGATAGATAACCCTAATCCCCACTACACCTTTAATTATTCCAACTAAAGATAAACTAGATAGAAGTTGCCAAACCATCGAGCCAAACTCTTATTCAAAACATGCCATCCACACTTTTGGCGTGTAGGACTGACCTCATTCAAAGCCTACCATCCACTTCCCAAGGTAAAATGCCATGTAAAGAGGGCCAATTGGGAAGGATTTTCTTCACACCACCAATGATGTGGTCATTTATGGTGCTAGGTAATGTTTTGAAAACTGGACCATACTGACTTGCTTAACCGGTTAAACCGTTAACCGGTCCAAATGTACTTTCTAAACCGTCCAAGCTTGAGAACTAGTCTATTTTAGCTGAATCGGTTTATCCTCTAAATTGTCCAAGCTTGAGAACCGGCCTATTTTAGTTGAACTGGTAAACTGGATAAAGCGGCCGAGAATCGGCCTATTTTAGTTGAATCGGTAAATCGGATGAACCGACACCTGTTGAAGAAAACCAACCGGGGACCGGTCCGAATATATCTTCTAAACCGTCCAAACTTGATATAGCGATCTGTGATTCTGTGCTGTGGTTTATACCTTGTTTCCACCCTTTGTTTCCTTATATTTGAGCTTTGGGATGTGTTGAGCAAGTTTGGGAAAGGTTGGTTGTGAGTTGGTGCAAGTAGTTGTTGCCCAGATTTTTGTCTCTTCGCTCGAGCAAGGCTTCTTGCGCTCGAGCGAGCCCTCAGTATTTATCTCTTCGCTCGAGCGAGATTTTTTGCGCTCGAGCAAGTCTCGACTGGTGTGTCTCCTCGCTCGAGCGAGAATTCTTGCGCTCGAGCGTGCGTCTGCGTCTCTTTTAGACCTGAAGAGTGGCATTCTTCGCTCGAGCGAGATTTCTCACGCTCGAGCGAGCTCTGTATTTTTTCGCTCGAGCGAGCATTCTTGCGCTCGAGCGTGCGTCTGCGTTGGTGGGTTGTAGACCTGAAGTCTTGCTTTGTTCACTCGAGCGAAGATTCTTGCGCTTGAACGAGGTTCGTTCGTTGTGTCTGGTCGCTCGAGCGACGACTCCTTCGCTCGAGCGAGCTTCGCATATATCAGATTTCAGCAGCGGGAATTTTATCCCTTTTTCATTACCTTCCTCCCCCAAAACCCTAGATCCGACTCTCGCTCACTCTCTCTCACCCCTTCTCTCTACAAATACTCCATTTCTAAGGTGTTTCTATCCTTTTTCCTTTGCTAAAAAGCTAGAGTTTGGGGTGGGCTCTCTTTCGATCCAAGAAAATACAAGTTTGGAGCATCTTGGGGTTTTTCTCATCTT